TTCCTGATTTACAGCATCCGCAGTTCTTTTGGTTTTTTTGTAGTATTTTGCTTGTTTAACGGGAACCTGAGTTTGCCTTGAACAGTCAAGGGGAATGAGGATGGGAGGGTGGAGTGAGTGTGTGGGGAATTAAAGAGAGATCGAAGCGAGCGGATGATGAAGACATTCTGTCAAGCGAACGCTCCATCTGCATTAGGTCTGTGCAGGCTGGAGTAACTGGCACTATGGACAGTGAATAGAATAAACTGTAGCAAAAGCAGCACAAATAATGATACACAAGAACATATGAATTGGAGCAGAAGTGGGCCATTTATCTCCTTGAAGCTGCTCTGCCGTTAGTTAAGATCAGGGTTGATCTGATTTGTCTGCTACTTCCCATCTCGCACTTAAACCCTTGCTAGTTAAGAATCTAGAGATTACAAGACCTGCAGATGCTGGAATCAGAGAGAACACAGTGTGGAGCTAGAGGAACACAGCATGCCAGGCAGCATCAGAGGAGCAGGAAAGTTGATGTTTCGGGTAGGGACCCTTCTTCAGAAATGGGGAGGGCGAAGGGAGCTCAGAAATAGAGAGAGGAGGGTGTGGGGCTGGGGAAGATAGGTGGGATGGTGATAGGTGAGTGCAGGTAGGGAGTGGTGGCGATTGGTCAGTGAGGTGGGAGGAGCGGTTAGGTGGGAGAGAAGATGGACAGTTTGTGTCAGGTCAAAGAGGTGGGGATGAGAGGGAGGGTTGGTCATAGGTTAAGGTTGGAGGTGGGGAGATTTTGAAACTAGTAAAGTCCACATTTAGGCCATTGGGTTGTAGGCTCCTGAGGTAGAATATGAGGTGCTGCTCCACCAGTTTGCGGGTGGTGTCGTTGCAACACTGGAGGAGGTCCAGGATGGACATGTCATCCAGGGAGTGGGAGGGGGAGTTGAAATGGTTTGCGACCAAAAGGTTTTGTTGTTTGTTGCGTACAGAGTGCAGATGCTCTACGAAATGGTCTCTGAGCCTCCACTTGGTCTCTCCGATGCAGAGGAGGCCACATCGGGAGCAGCGAATGCAATAGACCACGTTGATGGATGTGCAGGTGAACGCCTGTCTAATGTGGAAGGTTTGTTTTGTGCCTTGAATGGAAGTGTCGGGGGAGGTGTAGGGGCAGGTGTAGCACTTCCTGCGGTTGCAAGGAAAGGTGCCGGAGGTGGTGGGGCTAGTGGGGAGTGTGGAGCGGACGAGGGGGTTGTGGAGAGAGCAGTTCCTATGAAAGACAGATAGGGGTAGCTCTGTTCTGTTTTGACATCATTCAAAAAGAGGCCGAGTCTCATGTTTGCAGAATTAAAGAGATTGAGAGTGAGTTGCAGAGCTGGTGCAGTGACACTGGAGTCATCTGCAAACTGTAGATCATGTATGTCTACAGTGGTCAGTTCAGTTTTGGTCACACAGGCAACTGAGGATTAAGAGTTGTTTATCTAGCTTGTATTTGACACTCACAGCAAAGGACAAATGATCTTTAATGAGGAGAATAAGCACTGTCAGATGGTTGGTTAACAGTATGGGGCTAACATTCAACTTTGCTCCTCATTGGTATGGATTTGAAGGTGACTATTTCAGATCCCCTCACACTGGACAGTAGTGGTCATATTACGAAAGCAGTGACAAGATTGTGATGAAGTTACTTGGACACTTAAATCTTTGGAGCATAATCCACAGAGCCTCATGATTTACTGAGCCAAATATTTTAGCCAGGTGGATGAAGACAATGAGGAGTTCCCACTTTTACTCTCGACATTTTCTTGGATTTGTCTGGAAACAAAGATGATGTCAGAGGCTCCTCGAGAAGGGCTTTAGATCTTTGACGCCATGTCAATTTCAGTTCAGAATCAGACTTAGTTATTGATGGTTACATGAGCTTGTCTCAATCTGATCAGATAAAAATGCTTTTCCCTTTCCTTACAACTACGTTAGTCCAAGAAAGACCCCAGGTCTTCAATTCAGATACTGGAAGATGAATATTGGTAGTCCATTTTTATTGATAATCCATGTTTTACTAATAGTGTTATCAAGCATTTGCCTGGATGGGTGCAGCTCCAACAACATTCAAGAAGCTTCACACCATCCAGGACAAAGCAGCCCACTTGTTTGGCACCATATTCACAAACATTCACTCCCTCCACCATCAACATTCAGTATTAGCAGTGTGTACCATTTACAAGATGCACTGCTGAAATTCACCAAGGCTCCTTAAACAGCACTTTCCAAACATAGAAACATAGAAGATAGGAGCAGGAGGAGGCCATTCGGCCCTTCGAGCCTGCTCCGACATTCTTCATGACCGTGACTGATCGTCCAACTCAACAGTCTGCTTTCTACTCATAAGCTTTGATCCCATTCACCCCAAGTACTATACATATAGTCGCCTCTTGAATACATTCAAAGTTTTGGCATCTACTATTTGCTGTGGTAATGAATTCCACAGTCTCACCATTCTTTGGGTGCAAACCCACAGCCACCACCATCTAGAAAGAAGAAGGCAGCAGATACATGGAAACACCACCACCTGCAAGTTCCACTTCAAGCCAGTCACCATTCTGACTTGGAAATATATCACCATTTCTTCACCATTTCTGGATCGAAATAATTATATTGTGGATTGACCTACAGCACATAGACTGCAACATTTCAAGAAGGCAGCTCACCATCAGCTTCTCAAGGGCAAATAGAAATGGGCAATAAATGCTGGTCCAGCCAGGGACACCCATGTCCCATGGTTCATTTTTGAAAATTACATAATTTTGATTTCAACATAGTGTGAGATATTGTATTATGATTCTCTTTACTAACTTACTCAAAAGTGCTCTATGTTTACTATACAGCGTTTCCATTCACTCATTCATAATTCTTTACTAACTCACTCATAAGCATTCTATGTTGACTATACTGCACTTCCATTCACTCACTCATAAAACCGTGCTTTTGTACTAGATTTTACTCTTACAACTAAATAAACTAAATTAAACATCCCTTCCCAGGCTGCCAACACATTACTGTTTCTTTACACTTTCAATAGTTATTGTCCCCATGCTGCAATCAGCATTTAGACCTGTTTCTATATCAAAGGCTACCCCTGAATAAGTGTTTATACTGTAACCTACTCAGAACAATGCCACCCCCCACTGTCATGTCTTCATAACACACTTGAAACTATGGAACTATAATAATAATTAGTCCTTAGTAACTATCTCTCAGGATCTGAATAGTCTGCAGGATATTAGTTTCCTCCACCAGAATGTCCCTACAGTCTCAGAGTGGCAGGAAAGTTGATGTTTCAGGTCAGGTTCCAGCTCCACACTGTGTTATCACTGACTCCTGCATCTGCAGTTATTACTATCGCTGTCCCTACAGTCTGCTGCTTTTTATCTCTTTGAAATGTCCTTATACACTACCTATTTCTATAACACTGTGCTACCTATTTCTAGCTTTTATTTAGGACTACCATCTTGTAATACACATATCATTTCTCACTTATTTAGATCATACAGGTCTAGTATTTTTACCAACATTACTAACTTTAAGGACAAAACAAGTAATACCTCCTTAAGGAGGTATTTAAGGAGTAATTATGCAAGCTCAGACCAGACAGACATTCTAATCCCATCAGGAGTAACAGCCAGCATTTAGCAAGTGCTTAAACCATTACCTGCTTCCCCAGGACAGATGTCACGCAAACTTGTGTACAATAGATACAACGATGTGGTACCATAGTGCTAAAATCTTAATGTATGTAAAAACTGTGTATAAAAGAAGTGACTGTAAAACTGTACTTGGGATTCTATTGCCGTCTTGAACTGTGCCACTGCAGATGCTCAATAAAGAGGCTATTTTTGCCACTCACTGATCTCGGTTGCTATTGAACACGATCCCATAACTTGACGTGTTCTCATTCTCCCTTCTATTGGGAGTTTGGTTTCATGATTCTGGGGTCAGCATGTCAATTCCGCTCCTGTGTCCAAAAGGCACTCAATGTCCAGGTCGCCCACCCTCATGCTCACAAACCGTCCATTTCCCCTCTGCTGGCCAGTGGAGTGTAAAAGAGCATGGGGTGGGCTCTCTCAGTTTTGTGTCATCTTCAGCAACTCCTGCTGCTGCTGGGTGTTTCGCTCTTTAAACTGCTCTGGGAGATTGGTCTTACTCTGAGTTTTTGGGGTCTCCTCATCCTTATTGCTTATTGCATGACTTAGCCCTTTTCCCCTTTGCCAGCACCCACTGGCCCAGTGGCCTTCCTTCCCACAGACGAAACACTTCCCTGGGCATTTGTCTTGGGTCTGTCCAGGTTTGCTGGGGGTCTGTCCCATTTGTCCTGTCTGTAGGGCTAACGATTTGGCACCCATATCTCAACTGAGCGGTGGACTCGGTCCACCAGCTCATAATAACTAGTCCCCCTCTGGTCCCAGTCTGCTTTGGTGAACTTTAGCATCTTAGTAAGCTCAGGTTTAAGTCTGGCCACAAAAGTGGATTTCAGTGGGCCGTAATCACAACCTTCAAAATCCCTATCGTCCTGCACATTTGGGACTCCTGCACACTCTTTCCAGGTCATTCTAAATCTTTCTTTGTATTCTGCAACTTCTGCTGAAGCTTTTTGACAGCAAAACTTGACTTTTGTCCAATCAGTCTTAGGTGGAGTTATGCCCCTGTAACCAGTATCTTCTTGCTATCCAGCCCAGCTTGCAGCTCCTGCTCATACTCTCCAAGGGCATCTCTGACTGCCTCATGGAGAAAACGTCCTTCTGTTTTAGTGACAATGACATGTTCCAGGGATGGGACCTGTATATTCCCCTTAACCAGTCTAGCTTTTCCCATGTCTTTATTAGCCCCTTCTTTGGGTGAGGCATTTCTTTAAACCACCTATCTATGTTTCCAGGGGTTACAGGTCCATGTACAGTGTGTTGTTTGGTCTGTTTTACTGGAACATCCAACTCAGTGCCATCCTCTAACCTTTGCCTTACCACTTTCTCTATTTTTACCTTCTTGGTTTTAAGAGATTGTAAAAGTGGTGCCAGGATATACAGCCCTCATCGCTTTCACTGCTAGAGGGTGCATCACTTTTATCTCTCTGTTTCCCAAGGGCGATAGCTTGTTTTTGCTGAACCACTTCCTGGATGTCGCGGGTAGTTGGATACAAATTCTGTATGGGCTTGGGAACTGGGGAAGAAACGGACAGTACTGTTATCTCATCCTTCACATTCTTGTTTTCTTCCTCAAACTCCCAATTTTTAAGTTCATCTTTTTCCCATTTTGGTCTCTCCTTTTGTAGCTGTGTATGCATTGCTTTTAATTGCTCTTTAAGATTGTTTTAATCCATGATCATGGGCTGATCAAGACATGATTTCATTCCTTTGGCAAATTTGTCCCATTAACTCAAGGGACCATTTAGCTCTGTCTTTATCTTTCTGTTGGGTGGATTTTCCCCAGACCTGTTACATGTCCACTGTCCTTTGGGAATATTGTATTTCTGCCCGATTTTGGTTAGGGTTTTCCCTAACGAGAACTTTACTTCAACGTAGCTTTGTAACTGCCGCAGCATTTCTCCCTCAGTTAAGTCAGGAGGGGCCAGCCCACCTTTGGAGGTCATAGGCAGCTTACTGGGGTTACTCATAGTCCCCCGAATACTTGCACGGTGGGCAATTTCTTGTTGTAGGCAATTTCAGCCGATTTGGATCGCTCGAGGTCTGGATGCAAGGGGATTCGAAAAATGGCCATCTCACTTGAGGTTCGGGATCGTGTTCAGGGACTAGGAGTGTATGGAGCAGGAGCTGACAGAATAGAAATTAAAAGGAACAAACGCGTGCACATTGCATTCGGCCCCCGTTAGTAACCTTTGTATGGATAGGACCTGTAGCCCAGCTGCTCCATATATAATGGATATCCTTACCCAACTAAATTTGTCTTTATATTTCAATGATGGACAGATAACGTGGTCCATCAGAACACGACAAAGGGAAGAATTAAAAGACCACCCCATCTGAGCTAAAGACAAGGACACCCGTAGGTTACTGCAAATGGAACCCACGATTTTTACAGTGACATCTCCACCTTGCACTAAACAGTACCCCATCAGCCCAACATCCGTTGCAAGAATCCTCCCGATAATTCAGAGGTTACGGGAAAAAGGAATTTTGGTAAAGGCCCACAGCACCTCTAACAGCCCAGTGTGGCCCGTGTGAAAGGCAAGTGGGGAATGGAGATCAACTATAGATTACTGGAAAATCAACAATGCATCGATCAAAAGGTCCCACTAGTAGCTGACCCCTCTACAATATTCGGTGTCTTAATATCAGATCACAAGTGGTTCTCGGTCATAGATATGGCTAACAGCTTCTGGTCAGTACACCCAGCACCTGATGTACAGTTATGGTTTGCCTTCACTATAGGGCAACAACAGTACACATGCTCCCATTGAACAAGCATGCACAAATCTAAGATAATGAACCAAAAGAAGCAATGGCAACATGAGGAAAAACCTTTTCATGTAGCAATTGGAATGCACTGTCTGAGGGTGTGGGGAATGCAGGTTACTGAAAGTTTCAAAAGGGCTTTGGGTTATTCACTGAAAGTAAAGAATATTTATGGCTCTGGGGAGGGGCTGATGAGGTCAAAAAAGATGAACTAATTTTTCGGAGAGATAGCACAGATATGATAGGTTCAATGACCTCCTTCTATGTTGTAACAGGGAGTAACAGCAAAGGTTTGTTACTGTGTGAGGGATCGTGTTCAGTAATGATTGCGATTGGTGAGTGGCAAAAATAGCCCTTTATTGAGCATCCGTAGTGGCACAGTTTGAATCCCAAGTACAGTTTCACAGTAGCCTCTTTATACACAGTTTTTGCATACATTAAAATTTTAGCACTATGGTGTCACATAGTTGTATCTATTGTACACAAGTTTGCGTGACATCTGTCCTGGGGAAGCAGGTGATGGTTTAAGCACTTGCTTAGTGCTGGCTGTTACTCCTGATGGGATTAGAATGTCTATCCATTCTGAGCTTACATTATTAAGAGGCGTTAGACCTCTTGTCCTTAAAGTTAATAATGTTAGTAAAAAGTACTAGACCTGTATGATTTAAATAAGTGAGAAATGATATGTGTAGTACAAGATGGTAGTCCTAAATAAAAGCTAGAAATAAGTAGTACAGTGTCATAGAAATAGGTAGTGTATAAGGACATTTCAAAGAGATAAAAAGCAGCAGACTGTAGGGACATGCTGATAGAGGAAACTGATACCCTGCAGTCCATTCAGGTCCTGAGAGACGGTTACTAAGGGCTGATTAATAATATAACCTTTCCATAGTTTCGAGTAAGTTATGGAGACACGGTGGTGGGGATGACATTGTTCTGAGTAGGTTACGGTATTAACACTTATTCATGGGTAGACTTTCATACAGAAACAGGTCTAAACACTGCTTGCAGCCTAGGGCCGATAAGAATTGAAAGGTGTAAAGAAACAGTAATGTGTTGGCAGGGACATTTAATTTAGTTTATCTTGTAAGAGTAAAATGTACTGCAAAAACGTGGTTTTATGGATGAGTGAATGGTAGCGCGGTATGATAAACATAAAGCACTTGTGAGTGAGTTAGTAAAGAGAATCATAATACATCACAATCCCCCCCTTTTTGATTCTACTGAGACCCTTCGAAGAGAATCACTTGATTTCTATCGTAATTCAAATGTACCACGTGGGTCTTTTAGATGTTGGAGGGGCTGGTGGAAACAAGGCTCATGGTTGGGGATGGTTCATACTCTTAATAGCTTGTTGGAAACTACACTTTATAAAAGAGAAAACAACATACACAGCTAGAATGACAATAATAAACATCATGGTGGTCAGTCAGTATCTGGTTCCACTGTATTGTAGGATGCTTGTTTAATGTGGGAGGCATGAATCCTCTTTCCTTGGACCTTGAAAGCTGACTGGGTGATCAGCAGCACCGGGTATAGTCCTTCCCACATCACATCTAAGGGTTCCTTATGGAGCTTTTTCACAAGAACCCACTCGCCTGGTACAACGCCATGATCTCCCTCCAGCAGGTACTTCCAGGCAGCCAATACCTGTGAGGAGACAGAACCAGTATTGACTCGGACTAGGGAACCCATTTCACAGGAGCAGTGTGTCAAGATGTTTGCCAGTTAGTGCTTGGCAGTAAGACAATAGGACGTCACTCATAAGCTGACAGTTGCCCCCCCCCGTAGGTCTATTGGCCTGGGTAGGGATGTTGGCCTGCCTGTCACTATTTCAAATGGACTCAGAGCAGTCGTTTTGTTGGGGGTAGCCCTTACGCTGCACAGAACTATTGGGAAAGCCTGGGGTCAGGGCTTTCCCACCTGGTGGTATTTAGCCAGTCGCTGTTTCAGAGTCTAATTCATTCTCTCCTCCTGTCCCGATGATTGTGGATGATAGGGACAGTGAAAGTTCCAGTCAATCCTCAATAACTGGCAAACATCTTGACACACTGCTCCTGTGAAATGGGTTCCCTAGTCCAAGTCAATACTGGTGTAATCCTTAGAAAGTACTTTAGGTGTGTGATTGGCTGTAGCCTTTCTTGCGGGAACAGCTTCCACCCATCTAGAAATCCTGTCCACAATTACAAGAATGTCTGAGTAACCTTGACAGGGTGGGAGCAAGAAATAATCAATTTACAAGTGCAGACTGTTAAAGCCAAAGAGGAGGCATATAAATTAGCCAGAAAAAGCAGCAAACCTGAGGACTGGGAGAAATTTAAAATTCAGTAGAGGAAGACAAAGAGTTTAACTCAGAAGGGGAAAATAGAATATGAGAGTAAGCTTGCCGAAAACATAAAAACTGACTGCAAAATCTTCTCTAACTATGTGAAGAGAGAAAGATAAGTGAAGACAAATGTAGGTCCCTTACAGTCAGTTTCAGGTGAATTCACAATGAACAACAAAGAGATGTCAGACCAGTTGAACAAATACTTTGGTCTTCACTAAGGAGGACACAAATAATTGTTTGGAAATGCTAGGGGACACAGGGCCGAGCAAAGGAGGAACTGAAGGAAATCCTTATTAGTCAGGAAATGGTATTGGGGAAATTGATGGGATTAAAACTCAATAAATCCTCAGGACCTGATGCTCTGCATCCCAGATTATTTAAGGAAGTTGACCTGGAAATAACAGATGCATCAGTGATCATTTTCTAGCATTCTATAGACTCTGGAAGAGTTCCAATGGACTGGAGGGTGCCTATGTAACCCAACATTTTAAAAAAGGAGCGAGAGAGAAAACGGGGTATTGTGGGCTGGTTAGCCTGACATCGGTAGTGGGGAAAATGCTAGAGTCAATCATTAAGGATGTACTAACTGAGCATTTGGAAAGCAGTGACAGGATCAGTCCTAGTCAGCATGGATTCGCTAAGGGAAATCATGCTTGACAAAACTTTGGGAATTTTTTGAGGGTGTGACCAGAAGAGTGGGAAAGGATGACTCAGTGGATGTTGTGTATCTTGACTTTCAGAAGGCTTTAACAAGGTCCCACACAAGAGATTAGTAAGGAAAATGAAAGCTCATGGTATCGGAGGTAATGTATTGACATGGATAAAGAATGGTTGGCAGACAGGAAGTAGAGAGTTGGAATAAATGGATACTTTTTGGAGTGGCAGGCAGCAATGAGTAAGGTACTGCAGGGTGCTGGGACCCCAGCTGTTCACAATATACATTAACCATTTGGACGAAGGAATTGACTGAAATATCTCCAAATTTGCAGATGACACTAAGTTGGGCGGCAGTATGTGTTGTAAGGAGGATACTTAGAGGCTACAGGGTGACTTAGACAAGTTGGGTGAGTGGGCAAATACTTGGCAAATGCAATATAATTTGAATAAATGTGAGGTTATGCACTTTGGTCATGAAAACAGGAAGGCAGATTATTATCTGAATGGTGGCTGTTTTGGAAAAGGTGAGGTATAACAGGACCTGGGTGTCCATGGTGGAACAGTCACTGAAGGTTGGCATGCAGGTGCAGCAGGCAATGAGGAAAGCTAATGGCGTGCTCTTCTTCATACTGAGAGGATTTGAGTATTGGAGTAAGGATGTCTCGTTGCAGTAATACAGGGCCTGTGAAGTCACACCTTGAGTATTGTGTGTAGCTTTGGTCTCCTCGTCTGAGGAAGGACATTCATACTATTGAGGGAGTCTAGCGAAGGTTCACCAGACTGATTCCTGGAATGGCAGGACTGACATATGAAAAAAGACTGGATGGATTGGGCTTGTACACACTGGAATTCAGGAGAATGAGGGGGAATCTCATAGAAACACAT